TTTTTTTTTTTTTTTTTTTTTGCTGTTGTTGTTGTCAATCTTTTTCTGCAAGTTTGTGGTATCGACGGGGGAAGGGGAGGAGGGGGACTACATACATTTTTGAATTTTTTACCACAACCAATTTGAATAAAATTTTAAATTTCTCTTATTTTTCCAAATTTTTTACCACTCATAAGAAAAATTAATCGCTTTTTAATTTTGTTGTTAAATTTTTTCAGCTTTTTTTTTTCCCCTTTTTTATTTCAATTTTCAATATCCTGTTGTACTATGGCATTCCGGATTTGATCTCTTCTGATTCATCCTGAATCCGCCTTGTTCAAAGGACGATCGTATTCTTGTCCTGATAGTTGTTCAGAGTTGAACGCTTCTTGGCCTTTAGTATAGGCCGAATCAAATAATATGTTCCTATTTAAGAGCAAAAAAAAAAAAATAATAAATAATAAATAAAAAAAGAAAAGGAAGGAACAAAGATTAGTTTTCTAGTATCTTGTTGCTATTCTTATTACTGTCATCATTATCACCATTGTTTCGCTGTTGTATTATTGAACAGAAACTGTTTCTTGAAAAAATATTTCATAGAACAATTTACTAAAACTGGAAATTTTGCTTCTTCTTCAGAGAAGTTTCTGAAAAATAACAGTATCACCTCGTTGCTAATTGATGACACAACAGTAAGTAACTCTGTTTGAACTGGTTAGTTTAAAAATTCGTGTGATAATAAGAAAATTGAGTGAAACAGCAATGTCTTGCTTTGACTATATATTTTTTCTCGATTATAAGTTCGATGTTGTTGCTGATTTTTGTTTTTTTTAAGTTTGTGGTTTCTGTTTATCTCTTACCAGTTCACGAGTTCACTTTTTCCCCTCTTTGAATTGTGGGCGATGCTACAGTTTTGAAGTCAAAATTTATCAAAGAGTTTATCACTTTTTCACTATTACAGTTGATAGTTGATTTAAAAAAAGAGAGATGAAAATTGAATGATAGAGAACTATTTTACTTACGGAAGGGTTTTGGAAGGAGGGGGAGAAAGGGGGAATACCAGGCAGAAGGAGAAGAGCAAACTGTTTCATTGACAAACTTAACAGTAATGCTGATAACGATGGTAACACTGATGTCGATGGCATTGATGACATAACCTTAGCAACAATGTTGATTTTTTAAAAAACTTTATAAGTATCATTTCAACAGAACCATTATACTGCTGTTTTCTCTTTCAACTTTTTTTTTTCTTTCATTTACCACTTTTTGTTACCTTTGACAATGTTAATGGCGGTAATGTTAGTGTTGTCACTACACCTTTTTTTTGGATTTTTTTTTGGGCACTGTTAATAGATCAAAAAACTATGGTTACAAGAAGAAACAACTAGTTGAAAAGACGAAAAAGCGTGTTGAGTACGAGCAAAACTGGACTTGTTGTTGCTAGCCAAAACTGGTTAAAACCAAAAGAAGCAACTGAATAGCTATGTATATTGGTACATTCAGCAGCAGTATGCTAAGTATTTTTGTTTTTTTTTTAGTTAATACGTTTATCACTGTATTTGATTACAAACCTTGAATTACTGTTCGTGAATCAAGACTAATGTTCCTTTTATACGTTTTTCTGCCATCTGTTTTATTACACAGATCTATTAGAAGGGGTAATGTTGGTTAGAATTTGATGTTTGCTAAAAGTTAGTTCTATCCTCTGTTCTTCTTTTTTTTTTTTTAACTTTGTAGGGCATTTCAGTAATGGTTAAAAATACAGAAGAAAAAGAGTGAAAAAAAAAGTGAAAAAAATGGAGCATTGCACCTCGATATGTATTGGGTACAGCTCTTGATCATCAACAATTCACGAGATAGATCAGTGATGTTTAGAAGTCACTGAACTTTCAGCAGTCATCTGTTTTAAGATCTGTTTTCAGATGAAAGTACTGAAAGAGATTGAACAAAATGAATGTATTATTGTCTTCTCCATTTCTTCTCTCTTTTTTTTTATTTTTGAATTTAAAACTTTTAAATTCATTTTGTGAACTTGTTGTTTTTTCTTCCTTTTCATTACGATTTTTTGGTCTTTTCCAGTTTTGCTGTTTTTTCGGGTAAATGTTTCGATAGAACAGTTTCTGATAAAGAAGCTCAGAGAATCTTTTATAATTTGTTGATGTTGCTATTGTTGTTTAAGTTTGGAAGACTTTTTTGGCTTTCTTCAATATGATAGATTCGTCGAACTCAGTAATCAACAAAGACATATTTCAATTTTAGTGTTCTTCAACAAAGGTACTCAGGTCAACAGATAGTGTCGTTATTCTAAC